TTATTGAAATCGAGAACTTTAAGTCGTACAAGGGAAGACAGATCATCGGACCATTTCAGAGGTTTACAGCCATCATTGGACCTAATGGCTCTGGTGAGATAAACCTGGCTGCGGCCCATCACTCATGCTGTCCCGTTTCTGGCGACAAGAGTAGTACAACCCAGCTCGTGCTACCTAAAACGTCGCGAATTCTAACATGTTTTTTGCCCAGTCTGAACTAGTTTGGTTTGAACCTGTTCCTCCCCCTGCCCGACTTGGTTGCGTTTACTTTTCCCAGGTGTAAGTTGTTTGTACTTTGGCCCCTGCGTTTAGGCCCGAGTGGTACGGCCGAACGGTACGTTGCCCCGCCCACCAACCCCTCCCGCCAAAAGTGGCGCGTTCAGAGTTGCGCTACCCTCGCCTAATTTGGCCTTTCCGGAAGTTGTGGGAGGTTCCTAAAGATTCTTAGCTCCCTACCACTGCACAGTGGTGCACTCCAGCCTCTTTCCTCCTTTTTGCTCTGTTTTTCAAAGGCGACACTTTTGATTTTAGAAACCAGAAGCGGTCTAATCTTCAGGGTTCTTAGGATCTTGGCTTCCTCCACTACTCAAATCTCAGGGTTGAGATGTCTTGAACTCGCCTCTTTTCTACTACTGGTGTTCTCAAAGACCTAACTTGGCGTGCCAGATATTTATTGAGTACTTACTGTTTATCAGGAGATTTTTAAAATGCTGTGGAAAAAACAGACAAGAATAAGTCGGTCCTGTTTTCCCAGGGAATCTACGTTCCACAGGGGAAAGGCTGTAATAAAGGGAAAAAAGAAGTTAATTTTAGCTTATCATAAGTGCTGTGAAGGAAATAGAATAGGTTGTAAGACCTCTGTTTCCTATGTTAACTCACCATCTCCACCCTAGAGATATTTTGCCTGAATCATTTCCTAATCTGAGAGGCTGCTCTTGCTGAAGTAATTAATACTGAATACCTTTTTTGGAAGGGAGCGCTGGTGGCTGAGTGATAAGGAATTGTGCAAAGGCACAGAAGGATGGGCATTGCCTTCCCATGTGGTTTACTGCCTCTGAAAACCCACTGGAGGATCAGCTATGGGTTGGTTCCTACTCTGCAGTACACAGCAACAGTCTTCCTTGGAAGTTTGTCTGTTTATGACTCTCTGCATAGAGTGAGACTTCTCCACAGCACTATTACTGATATTTGGACAGGTTAATTCTGGGGATGCTCTTATACCTTGAAGGGTTTTTGGTAGCATCCCTGATGACTAAAATAAAGAAGAAGTTCAAACGGCTCTGAAAGAATTGGCCAAAAACAAGGCTCTGGGAATTGGTAGCATACCAGTTAACACATTTCAACAAACAGACGCTGCCCCGGATTTGCTCACGAAATGGTGCCAAGAAGTTTGGAGGACAACCACCTGTTGGGGAAATTATCGAACAGTATCATTACTATTACATGCAATCAAGATTCTGCTGAATATTATCCAAAAACAACTGGAACAGCACATCAACAGAGAACTTCCAAATGTGCAGGCTGGGCTTAGAAGAGGTCATGGTACTAGGGATGTTATAGCTAGTGTTAGATGGATCTTGGCTGAAAGCAGGGAGTATCAGAGGAATGTCTTTTTGTGTTACATTGACTATGCAAAGGCATTTGTGTGGTTGACTCAGAAGAATGGGAATCCCAGAACATTTGATTGTACTTATGCAAAACCAATACTTGGGCCAGGAGGCCGTTGTCAGAACAGAGCAAGGAAACAGTGCATGATTCAAATGCCTTTAGACATGTTCTACATGTTTAACACATGTTTACCGGGGGGAGGGGGGGAGGCAGTCACTCCCACCCCTTCTGAAACACTGGCTTAGAGGTCTCACTTTAGTTTCTTTTGGTTTAGTGCAGTGCCCCCTGTGGAAAGAGCTAGAGTGTACCTCTTGGGATTCTGTTCCCTCAGCATTATTATATTTGTACACCCGATTGTTCAGGAAAGACCTTGACCCTTAAATTCTCCCTTCACTATTCTTCAGGATCCTCTTCACATAGTATTCCTTGATTCTCCTCTCTGATACACAGTAGATTTTTGTCTTATATTCATAGTATATAGCACGGGTCTGTTCATTTGTTGCACAGAGTTAACTCATGGTTGCTGGGATGCTGAGCGCTGTAACACTGATGGGTCAAATGCGATAATGGTTACCCATGGTGGACAGTGTTTTGGTGGAACTCTGTGATTAAAACAAGCTTGAAAGCAAGAGTGGCATCTACTTCCGAAATAGCTTGCATCTGGAAACCTTATGAACTTGGAGAAATGATGAAAGTTATACAAGTGTTCAGGTTTTTCGTTCATAGGGTCGCTATGAGTCATCTACGACTAGATGGCACTTAACAACAACATTCATAGTGTATGTGTTTGTATTGTCCTCACTCGTCTATAAGTGTCTCAAAGAAGATATGCTTTGAAACATTTTATCTTAATTATCTTTATAATCCTAGTGTGCATGTCATAATTGTTATGTACAGTCCAATTCAGTACTACTCATAATGACTGAACAGCAAATCTAGTTGAAAAGTGCCCTCTGGGAGTAGTTCTGGGTCAAAGTTTAAAGGGTATCATAGGATAATAGTCTTGGGTGTGCCTCTAGTTTTAACCATTCTGGTAAGTGTAGACTTTTTAAAGACTGAAAAAGGAAGGGTGCTTGCACACCTCTACATGTTCCAACCACTTAAACTTACCAGGGTTTTGAGCCGGAGGATGACCCAGCTGACTCCAAGATGCTCTGTGCTGAACTAGGGAGTATTCTGGTGTATGAGTGTGGCCTACATAACAAAGGAACTCCTCTCCATAACCCCTTTTACCAGTCTTGGGACTGGTGCAAAGTAGGCAGTCTTCCTCCTGGGCAAGCTTACAGCTCAACATACCCCCAAGAATGAGTCACTGAACTTAACACTCTGAGCTGAGAGCTGCTTGCTCTCTTTACTGGGTTGAAAATGGTGTCAGCCTTTCTTTAAGGTGAGCTGGAACAGGGAAAGGAGCACCCTGGCTAGTCAAGTGAAAACCCCCTTTACTGATCCTTGGGGGTTTATAAGAAGATGGGAGGGGTTGCACCTTTTTTTTTTTTTTTTTTAACATCAGTCAGCCAGTGTATCACTGTTGCAATACTCGGTCCCTGCAGGCATGTTCTAAAACATTGATATAAAAGTCTTTGTTTATATTCCAACTTTGAACTCTTGGGAGAGTCCAAGCTCATAATCACTATCCTTTATTGCTTCCTTGGAAGAACCTGTTAAGCCATTATTATGATGGGTATAAAGGCATAGGGAGTTCTGATAGCATAGTAAGTTAGCACTCACGAATGGGAAGGCCAGCTTTTAACCCCTCCCTCCCCCCAGCCACTCTATGGAATAAAGATGTGGCAAAGATTCACAGTTTTGGAAACCCTGTGGGGTGGTTTCCCCCCACTCTGTCTTTTGGAATCACCTCCATGTTTGTGGGTTTGATTTGGTTATAAAGGAATAGGAAATCAGATCCTGCGTTCAAATCATGTAATATATTTGGGGTATATCATGAGATAGAATTTATAGAGATTAAACTCTCCTTGCTCCAAAATCTAAACTTTTTTTTTAAAATGTGGGTTTTAAAATTACTAGAATACAAGGAAAGTAAAAACCAACTCCAGTACTGAAAAGATGAAAAAAACCAAATAAATCAAACCTATTGTCCTGGAGTTGATTCATAATGACCTCATACGTTATAGAGTAGAACTGTGCTCCCCAGGATTTTCTTGGCTATTATGCTAACTAAAAGATTGGTAGCTTGAACTCATCCAGTGGCTCTGTGGAACAAGGATTTGCTTGTCTGTTTCTGTAGAAAGTGCAGCCAAGAAAACCCTATGAAACATTTCTGCTCTTTCACATGGAGTCATTTTGAGGCAGAATCAACAAAAACCCAACAAAAACAAGCTTTACAGAAGGAGATTGCCTAACCTTTCTTCTGTAGTAGGTTTCAACTGATAATGTAAAAGTCTGATTTATTTGAATAGCTTGTTCATGATCATGATGTAAATGTCTTGAAATCCTCAAGGATTTGAAAAAAAAAAAGCATTGACTCCCTCCTATTCCCTTACTTAAGCTTTTAATTTCTCTTTGGAAATAATACAATATTGTTTATATTTTTATGTGTTTTCTGATGCCTTTTCCTTGCTCTAAGTTTTTATAATAAAAAATTTCAAAAATATCTATTTTACTCAGTTATTAGAATGTGAATTGCAGACCTAATGACATTTTACCTCTAAGTGCTTTAGCATTCATCTCCTGAAATCATTCTGTATTGCTGCTACACCGCAATATCTCTTTTTCTCTTTGTCCTCACATCTTCCCTTCTTCCTTATTTATTGCTGCTATACCATTTTCACATATCATATCAATGTCTCTTTTACTCCATTTTCTCCCACCTTCCATTCTTCCTGACTTAACTTTCCTCTATTTTGACTCCTCCTTTAGGTAAATCAAATCTCATGGATGCTATCAGCTTTGTGCTAGGTGAAAAGACCAGCAATTTGCGGGTGAAGACTCTTCGAGACTTGATCCATGGAGC